GGCGCTTACCTGCTGAGAGCTGGGGCGCCTGGACCGCCGCCAGCCCCGATTCCTCCCAGCCAGCGGCAGCGCCCTTGGCAGAGGCCCTTCCTCTCAGCCTGGCCCAGCGGCCCCAGCTGCCCGCCCCATTGCCCCCGCTGGCTCCTCTGCCACGCTTCTCCTGCGCTGCAGCCACTTGGGAGTAGCCTCGCGTCTACTCATTGAGTACAGCTGAGGGGTTTCTCATTCTCCCTTCCTGCTCTCTTTCTTTCGTCTTTCTTTTCGGTTTTTGAGACAGGATCTCTCTTTGTAGCCTAGGCAGGCCTTGACCTCACAGCGATCCTCCTGCCTCAGCCTCCCAAGTGCTGGATCACAGGTGTGCGCCACCACGCCTGGCTTTTCTCTCCTTGAATCTGCTGTCGTGCCATCAGTGTGGGAGTTCAGACCCTCTTCTTAGCTGGTCCTGCAGATAGACCGGGTTTCCTTGAGCGTTGGGTGAACCTGGCACGATCTGCCTAAATGGAAAGCTGCACGTGCATCTTCCCCACCGAACAAGGAAAAGGGCTGGAGACTGGCCGCTGGTCTCTGCCCATCAGCTCTAGATAACTCGGATGTGTCTTACTCCTCTCCCTGCCTCTTACCCCTCCTGCCCAGCCAGATCGTCCTCCAGGGCTTCCCTCTGGCCCCTGTCACCTGCAGGCCCTGGCTGCGTTTGAGAACGGCTCCCTGAAAGCCAGGACTGCAGGCCGGGCAAGGCTCAGTTCTCCTCCTCTGCCTCCCGTGTGCCCTGGGCCACAGGCCCTCTGCTTGTCCCTCAGTAAACTGGCACTTCCGCAGGGCAAACCTCACTCATTGTCAGTCTGACTCAGCCCTCACGGCCCGTCACACCAGAGGACGAGAATGAAATCCATGCTGGTTTAACCCAACCGAACCCTTCCAGGCATCTTCCTGTGACAGGTTTCCCTGCACTGCTCCCAGAGGGCCTGGAAAGGCCCCACCGCATCCCCACCCAGGAGGCCACCTGGGCTCTGGTCACAAAGACCCCTCTGCAGCTGCAGGCCACGTAGAGGGACAGGCACAGCTGGAGAATCTCTCGTGCTCTTGTGCAGCCTGTCCGGCTCTGTCCCCCTGCCCGCCCCACAGCCAGTGGTCAGGATGCCCGCGGCTCAGGGTCCTGCCTGGAGACCCCCACCACATGGCTCCCGTCCCTCCCCACCAAGCTCCAGCTCTGTGCTGCTTGTCACTTGGCTTTCCCTGTCCCTGGCAGGACCAGTTTGACACTGTGAGTGATGCCGACCTCCAGAGCATGGACGCCAAGATCGTGGCCCTCACCGCGAAGGTGCAGGGCCTGCAGCAGAGCTGCCGACACATGGAGGCTGGTAGGATGGTGCAGGGGTCCTCGGGGTTGGGAGATGCTCGGGGACTGGGTGGGGATCACCTGGTGTCACTGCAGAGGCCCCTCAGTGGGGCTGAGACTTTAAACAAAGAATAACGGGGTGGGGTGGCGTGAGCCTGTCATCCCTCTAGGAGGCTGAGGCAGGAGGATCCCAAGTGCAAGTTGGAGCCCAGCCTGGGCAACTTAGTGAGATCCTGTCTCCAAACAAAAGAATAAAAAGGGGCTGGAGCTGGGGACCAGTGTGAGGACTGACTCGATCCCAAGTGATGCCAAAAATAGAAAGAAATGTAAAACTGACCATAGAAACGGTGAGATGTGTGTACCTGCTCTGCTGTGTCTGCGGTGCTGTTGTCCTCTGTTCCTGTACTCACCAGTACTTGTACAAAGAGATGTGGGGAAAACTAGCCTGAGCCTGTGCAGGGCTACGTCTCCACGCCGACCCACCTCTGTCCCAGAGCTCAAGGAGCTGACGAGCGCCCTGACCACGCCTGAGATGCAGCGCGAGGTCGAGCAGCTGAAGGCTGAGTGCGCGGGCTACACTGAGAGGCTGAGGGGCATCAGGGCAGCCCCAGCTCGAGTGACCCCTGCGGAAAAGGAGCAGGTGGGCAGCGGGCCACAGGTGGGGGGATGGAGCCGGCTCCTGCCATAGGTGACGAGGGCGGGGCTGAGCCGCCACCTCCTGCCGCAGGTGCATCGAGAGCAGCAGCGCTACTGCCGGGAGTGGAGGATGAGAAAGAGGCTGGTGAGCAGTGGGGACTCCAGGGCAGGGGCTGTGGGGCGCAGCCGTGTCCATGCGCAGCTGGTACAGTGTGGCTCTGACCCCCAGGCGATGGAGCTGTCTGCCGCAATCCTTGAGGGCTACCCCAAGAGCAAGAAGCAGTTCTTCGTAAGTGGCCCCATCCCCGTCCCTGTCGGTCCCTGGGGTGGCATGTGCTGCGCCCTCACACGCTGCACCCACAGGAGGAGGTTGGCATCGAGACAGATGAGGACCACCACGTGGTGCCCCCAGAGCCCTAGGACCCTGGAGCAGGACCAGGACCCCGACTCTGCCCGATGCAGTGGTTTGAGCGCCACTTGCGGGTTTGAAACAAATATGGGCAAGGGACGCACGTGGTGATGTTTATTGTGACTTGGTATAACACGGACTTTCCTGTGCACCGTCAGGCTCCCTGGGACCTGAGGGGGGCGCCTGGGACCAGCGTTTCCAACACCCACACATTTCTTCAAGAGAAGAGGGTAGAAAGGCTGGGTGACTCTGGGCCCTTTTAATTTTCCAAAGTTGTGACTGTAGCAAATTGCATTGTTGGTATTTAAAAAAACAGGATTTTCAGAGGATGTAGCTCAGCAGTGCTTGACAAACTCAAGGTTCTGAGTTCAATCCCTGGTACTGAGAAAAAAAAATTCCAATGTGCAGTAGTACTGCATCCCGTCTGTTTTTGTGGTGTGAGCAGAACAGGCAGGGACGCTGCACCCACCGAGCAGAGCGGAGGCAGAGCGGGGACCCGACCGCTAGGCCTTTCTGTGGTGTAGCCGGGTGTCCCCTCCACAGGCTACGCTGATGAACCTCCAGTTTCTGGGCTCCCTATGGGGAGGGGACAGGGACCAGCTACATGGTTGGGAAAATAAATTAATCAGAAGCACTCAAGAAACAGGTTTCTCACACAGGATGCAGTCCCACCCGGGCAAGAGATGCCCAGGCTCTGCAGCCATCAGTAGAGCTGGTTCTTGAGCTGATGCAGGACGCCCAGCACGATGTCACGCAGGGTCTGGGGACAGAGGAAGCACACTCAGGCAGGGTGGCTGGGCAGCTCTCTATAGCACAGCCATTACCCTCAGGGGCCCAGGAAGAGCTGATGGTTTATTTAAAAAACAAATACGATAAACCATTAGCAGTAGAATTCAGGCAGTGGCTGTAGGCACGCCCTTTCCGATTCTCTCTTGGCGACATTTTAACTTAGAAGTGGCCAGGTATGGTGACACACCTGTGATCCCTGCGTTGGGGAGGCTGAGGCAGGATTGCTGTGAGTCTGACACCAGTCTGGGCTCCACAATGACCAAATTCAAGGCTAGCCTGAACTACATTGTGAAACCATCTCAAAACACACACACACACAAAAATATTGGGAAGCTGAGCATGGCAGTGCACATGTGTGATCCCAGCACTCTGCAAGGCTGAGGCAGGAGGGTCAAGTTCAAGCCCAGCTTGGGCATTTCAGCAAAACCTTATCTCAAAACAAGGGCTGAAAATGCACCCTAGTTCAGTGGCCTTAAGTTTAAGCCCCTGTACTGCAAAAGCAAAACAGAAAACAATCTCAGCAGCCAGGCCTCAAAAGTGGGGGACCCAGTAGCCCTGGTACATTCTCCACCAGCAACAGCAATAAAGAACCCTCAGGACCAAGTCCCATGCACCATGCTGCAGAACTGCTGGTGCCCGACCGGCCGCACCTGGGGCTTGCAGTGCTCCTCAATCCAGCTGAAGACACAGGCCGACAGCTCCTGGAAGCTGGCCACGGAGATGGAGGCGTTGAAGGACTGGAACAGGGAGTCCATAATGCCCTGGAACACGTTGAACTTGACCTGGTCTGAGACCTGGTCCTTGCCCTCGTGCGGATTGTCGCGGTGCGCCTTAACGATCTGCTCGTAGTTCCTGAAAGCGGCAGGGTACAGGTGACAGCTGGGTACACTTCCTGGCTGGCGTGGAGTGGGAGTGTCACCTGTGCCTTATATGACGCGACCTTTGGGCGGGGAGGCTGGCCCTGCGGTGGCGTCCCCGGGTTGCCCCTTACACTTTCATGATCTTCAGGGCCGTGACGTCCTTGCGCAGCGTGGACACCTCCTCCTCCTGCTTTTTCTTCTCCTTGTGCAGAAACTGGATGTAGTCGATGGCTGGGGGGGACAGACAGGTCACAGGAGGCCCAGGGCGGCGGGGCTGTCCTCCCTCCCTCCCTCCCGCCCCACCCCACCCACTCTTCTGCAGGACGATGGCCTTGCTGAGCTTCTGGGAGCCGATGGAGAAGTCCTGCTGCTGGCAGGTGGGGACGATGGTCTGAAGGTCGTCGTAGCCCCTCTGTGGGGACAGCGGGACCCTCAGGAGCAGGCTGAGAAAGGGGATGTGCGCCCCCGGGGGAGGGAGCAGCCGTCCCCTGGCTGCTGGAGGCCCGGGACTCCCCATCACCTTGATGGCGTCCCTGCGTTTCTGCTCGGCCTGCGTGTGCGCCCGCCGCCGCCGGTCCTTGTAGGACTCCTGCTGGTAGTCGCTGTCCTCGTCGTCTAGCACAGAGGGGCGCAGCTGAGGGCCCGCGGCGGGGCTGGCCTGTGCCTGTCCCTGTCCCTGTCCCTGCCGAGGGGCGGGGGTCTGGCCTGGGGCTCCCCGTCTGGGAGGGGCCCGCGTGAGACCCTGCGCCAGAGGCCGGGGCGCCTACCTGTATTGGGGACAGAAGAGGCGCTGGTGGAGCCGATGCTGTTGGCCCTGGACACCACACT